GGTAACCTCTTTCTATTAAGTGCAAAACCTGCTCCTAATTTTGCACTCCCTCATCTGACACTATGAAACCTGACTCTGTAAGTATTTTATTGACCTACTGGCAGGAGGAATGGCACCTTAATTACAAATTCCACACAAACCTCAGATAACTGAAGAGAAGCAAAAAAGTTTGCATTTTCTGATATGTTCTTCAGTCTCTTTCTTTCATATGGTGACAATCCTGAAAAATCATCCTATGAAATTACAACAAAAAGATTCCATTACTTTACATAATCTTTAACAAAAGCACTCAGATAGGTGTTTCATTCTCTGCATGTATACTTTCCTTCAAATTGCACCCCCTCTATTCATTTCATGCTATCTTACCAAATAGTACATAATTGTTGCTGAATTGGATATTGAATGAAAGTTTGAATTTGGGATAATCACAAAATATTTGTATGTCTTCCCAATTAAAGAAGAAATGATCTGATATTAGGAATCTAGTAATATAACCTAATAGCAAATTATTTCCTAGTGGCCATTAATTGTACTACTACTTAAAAGTTATTTTTTACTAAACAAAAACCTTCCAATAGACACAGCAGAGTGAATGAATGCATTTGTCTCTACTTTCTCCTAAAAATCCACTAATATAACAGTGAACTGATAAAAAAAAATACTCAGAGATTTGAGAAGATCATGTAATCATGAAATAAGAGCAAGATATTATAAAAAGAGAAAATTAACAAAACAAGAACGAATAACAGAAAATTTTTAATCAACGAAAATGCTTAAAGAAAACTTAGAATGTAAAACAAAAAGAAGAGATCAACACATGGACAGAAAAAGGAAACTAGAGAATCAATCTTGGAGATCCAATCTCCAATCAATAATTTGAGAAACTGTGAAGAAACTGAAAGCAATTATTAGAAATATAATACAAGAAAGTTTCTCAAAACTGAAGACAAGAGTTTCCAGATTAAAAGAGTCCAAATGAGGCCAGGCACAGTGGCTCACACCTGTAATCTTAGCACTCTCGGAAGCCAAGGCAGGAGGATTGCTTGAGCCAGGGGTTGGAGAATGCAGTGAGCTATGATGATGCCACTGCACTCTAGCCCAGATCACAGAGAGAAATTCTATCTCAAAAAAAATAAAATAAAATAAAAGATAAAAGAAATTCAAAGGAAAATGGTAAAAGGAAGGTCAAGAAAGAGTAAAATGGTCCAGAATGAGGTAAGAAAACGAAGGACCCCAAGGAGTATTTCATGAGGGAAAAAAAAAAATGAAGCCATTTGAATTCTCTGAATTATATAGAGAATTTTTACAACTCTGATAAAGCTTAGGCTGTACCTAATAAGGATGTGGTAATGGAAAGTGTGGGGTACATGTGTGAAGAAGGTGGTGTAAAGTGAAATAAAGCTTCATCTTCACAGTAAGTCAATAGATAACCGGGAAAAAAAAAGAAGCTAATAAGTCTGAAACTGTCCTTTGTCTGCTGAGCAGTAATCAGAAACAAGGAGGTATGTGGAAGGAAATTTGGGGCTGCTTTTGTGTATACATATATGTGTGTGTATATGAAATTACCTGTATGGAATTATCCCATATGGGATAATCTGACTTACCTGTATGGAATTATCCCATGTGGAATTATCTGACTTAAACATTTGTGTACATGAATTACTTTGATCAGAATATTTTCAAACACACATGAAATAATAGTGGTAGCAAAGGTAAAATGGGAAAGGTTATATTGTTTTTTTTTTTTAACAAGTTACACTTTTATTTTTCAGAAGCAAAAATGACAAGTGTCAACTTGCCTTTGTAAAAAATGATAAAGATTATCAGAGTAATAGGCTATCTATCTCGCAGACAGTAGCCTGAGAAAGACTACTTTATAGCTCTCAAAGAAAGTCCTATTAAATAAGTCTCAGAATTATATACTTTTAACTAAATCAACAAAACAAAAATAACCACAACAAAATGATCTAGAACTCATGAAGTGGTACGTGAAGAAGGAAAAAGGAAAATCTGGAAATCCACATAGTGGGAATTCTCTATTAAAATCAAAGTCTCAAATCTGTTTCTTTTTGAAAATATTTATGGATATAACTGTAATAGTCTTGTAATTCTGGTTCCATAATAATCTACAATGTAACTACTTCCATCTGAAGGTCCAACAATCTGCACTGAAATAAGAATGAAATCCATTAGGCTCCCAATTCCACAAAACCCTGCAATGCAAAACTTTAACAAACCCAAGGCAGGGTATCCAAGGTAAAAATCAATCTGTTCCCAACCCTCCAAGAAAAAGAGACAATGCAACTGCCACTTTATATGATTAGCCATTTACATTTCAGCAAGATACGGGCTTGAGAAAACCAACTTCATTTCCAGTAAAATGTGTTTCATTGCCACTGAAATCCTTACAAGTTATGTTGGATGCTAGAAAACATGGAACATGAGTTGTGTAGTTTGTACAGTTAACTGGTTCCTGCGTAGCAGTTTATTTTTGGATCTTTACAGGTATATCCTCCCCTTCTGAGGTTCTAGCACTTAAACAACTCCTTGCCACCAACAGCGGCTGTGGCGACAGCTCCCCAAGGTCCCGTGGTGATTGATATGAGCCACAGAACACTGAGGAACTGGGTGGCAAGGCCCCCAGAGCAGCCAGCCTGGAGGGCCAGGCAGCTGCCATGTTGGAGATGGGTGTAACCCTCCCTAACCGTCACCCCCAACAAAAGGTGATATTTGTCATCCCCTTTAAAACTGCTTCTCAGAGAAAAACATCACCATCTTGAGAATCTCTTTCAAAACTCTGCATACAGAGATAAAAGGAACAAACTTAGATGATTCTACTTACCACAGAAGAAATTAAGAAAATGTATTAAGAAAAATCACTAGTTCTTTTGGAAGAGGCATGGGTAATTCAAATTATAGTCATCCCTCAGTATCTGAGGGGGATTGGTTCCAGGACACCCCTGACTTTGAGGACTTTTGTAGTATTTGCATATAAACTATGCATATCTTCCTGTATACTTTAAATCATCTCTGTTTATAAAACCTAGTATGATGTAAATGCTATGTAAATAGTGTTATACTGTATTGTTTTTTACTTGTATTATATTTCCTATCCTAAGTTGGTTGAATCCATGGATGCAAAGCCTGCAGATATAGAGGGCCAACTGTATTCTCAACATCACCTACCTCAAAAACTTGCAACATCAAATAGAAAACAAAGCAAATAACATCAGAAAAAGCAGACTCTCAAAGTAAACCTATTACAGGAAATAGAAATTTTAAAACTCTAAAATCCACAGAAGTATTTCAGAAGTTACAGCATCCATAAAACAAGAAAAAGATGCTGTTTAGCCTGAGCAATGTAGCAAGACCCCATGTCTACAAAAAACAGAAAAATTAGCTGGGCGTGGTGGATGTGCCTATAGTCCCAGCTACTCAGGAAGTTGAGGCAGGAGGACTGTTTGAGCCTAGAAGTTTGAGGTTGCAGTGAGCTATGACGATGCTACTACACCCTAGCCCAAGTAACAGAGCAAGACCCTGTCTCAAATAAAAAGGGGTGGGGTGGGGGGGCAGGATGCCGTTTTTTAAAAAATTTTTTATTTATTTATTTTTTGAGACAGAGTCTTGCTCTGTTCCTTGGGCTAGAGTGCCGTGACATCAGCCTAGCTCACGGCAACCTCAAACTCCTGGGCTCAAGCAATTCTTCTGCCTCAGCCTCCCAAGTAGGTGGGACTACAGGCATGTGCCACCATGCCCGGCTAATTTTTTCTATATATTTTTAGTTGTCCACCTAATTTCTTTCTATTTTTAGTAGAGATGGGGTCTCACTCTTGCTCAGGTGGTCTTGAATTCCTGACCTTGAGCGATCCTCCCGCCTCGGCCTCCTAAAGTGCTAAGATTACAAGCGTGAGCCACCGCGCCCGGCCTAAAAAATTTTTTAAAGAAAAATAACTTGAATTAAAAATATGCTGATACCACAAGGTCACATACTGATATACTGTATGGTTCCATTTATATAATATTCTCTGACAAAAATTCATCTGACAAAATTATACAGATGGAAAACAAATTAGTGGTTGCCAGGGGTTAGGCATGGTGAGAAGGAAGTGGGTGGGCATAACTATAAAGGGGTAGCCTGAGGGAGATCTTTGAAGAGATGGAATTGTTCTGTATCTTGATTGTGATGGTGGTTACATGAATTTACACGTGATAAAATGATATAGAACTATACACACACCTTGTACCAAAGTGAATTTCCTGGTTTTCATATTGTAATATGTACTTATTATACATACTAATATATACTATATACAAATTCCTTATATACTAATATAAGATGTTTGCATTGGGAGAAATTAGGTGAAGTATACATGGGACCTCTCTAAACTATTTCTGCAACTTCCTAACAATCTATAATCATTTCAAAATGAAAAGTTTAAAAAATTATATGCTTCTCACAGCCAAAATCATACTTAATGGTGAAAGACTAAAAGCTTTTTCCCTAAGATCAGGAACAGGACAAGGATGTTCACTCTCACCACTTCTATTCAACACCATACTGGAGGTTCTAGCCAGGATGATTAGGCAAAAAGAAATAAAAGGCATCCAGATTGGAAAGGAAGACATAAAACTTTATTTGCCAAAAAAACACCTTTATTTGCCAATGACATGATTTTATGTATTAAAAAACCCTAAAGAATACACACACAAAAATATTAGAACTAATTAACAACCTCAGCAAAGTTGCATGATACAAGATGAATATCCAAAATCAGTTATATTGTGTACAGTAGCAAGGAATAATCAGAAAATGAAATTAAGAAAACGACACCATTTACAATAGCATCAAAAAGAACAGTGTACCTTGGAATAAATTTAACCAAAGAAGTGCAAAGCTTGTACACTGAAAATTACAAAATATTGAATGTAATTAAAGCAGACCTGAATTAATGGAAAGACATCCCATGTGTTTTTTGTTGTTCGTAGTATTAAACTCCAGACTTTATTAGGATGCCATTAGTTTTTTCAGTAATGTCCTCTTTCTGTTCCAGGATCCAATCCAGGGTATCCACAGCATTTAGTTGTCACGTCTTATCAGTCTTTTGTGGCCGTGAGATAGTTTGTTCAGTCTTTAGTTGTTTTTCATGACCTTGAGAGTCTTGGGGAGAACTGGCCCCGTATCCTATTAAATGTCCCCTCATCTGGGTTTGTCTGTTGTTTACATGATTACTCC